TTATATATATATATATATAATATTTTATATTTAATATGTAATAATTAAATAATTTTGATTTTTCATAGTTTATTATTATAAATATATTTTAATATATTAGATATATTTAGATAATTATTAATATATTAGATTTCAAAATAATTTAAAAGATAAAAATATAATTTCTATTTTTTATTTTAATGTATAATAATACAGTAATATTTAAATATCATTAGTACTATGTCGTACATTAAAATAAATAATAATTTAAATAATAAGATAAATAATAATAATAATTTAATTTAAATAATAATTTAATAAATATAATTCCTACTATTCAAAATACAAAATACAAAAAACTATATGAAAAATTATATGTCATAACAAAATATTTTTTATTTAAATATTATTATTCTTATTATTCTAAAATATATTCTAATATTCTATATATTATAATATATATTATAATTTATTATATATTATAAAATTATTATATATTATAAATATATTCTAATATTCTATATATTATATTCTAATTATTAGTCTTATTATTCTAAAATATAATTAAATATTGTCTTTAGAAAAATAGAAAAACAAAATTTATAATATTTAATTAATACTTACGTGAATCTTAGTTTTTGTTTTATCTTGTAATTCTCTTATGTTACTACCACTTTTTCCAATTAATTTTCCAATTTTTTCAGTATTAACTTGTATTACAAATTTTTGATTGGAATTAGATGAAACAAAATTTGAATAATGTTCTTTTTTACCAGTTCTATAATTTTTAAAATTATTTCCATTGCTATGTTTTGAATGAACTTTTGTATAATTTTGTTGGAATTCCATTCTATAAATAACGCACAAGCAAAATATATTTTTATTTGATTTTTAGAATTATATAAATTATGTAAAATTAAAGAATAAAATTATAAGAAAATTAAGATATATTATAATGAAAACTATAATTGTATTTTTCTTAAAGTTGTAATACCTTTAATACACTATTGATTCTTGAAGATCAAAAATCTAAATCAACAACTTCTAAAAAACACTCGTGACGATTGAAATGGCGATTCTAACCACTACTAAACTACACAAACCACTAAACGTTCACAACTTCAACCGTTTTCGGAAAAAAAATCTTCCCAAAACAGACTGCTGGAGTTGCAAGCAGAGCTGTTACTACTACTCTACTCTAGCTATTAACTAGCGTGGATAAAGTTCGTCGGTTAATAAATATCCGTAGAAAAGTAAGAGAGTGGGGAAGTAATGTTATACCACGTGACTCAGTCGAGCGAATCATCGCCTCTCGCATGTGCAACATTACTCCCCCACTCTTCTATTTTTCAAATCCTTTTTGAATTTGCCACATGCTTGATTGAAAGAGTGGGAGAAAGTATTAGTAGTGACAGAGCTTAGAAATGAAAGTAGGGAAAATAACGGGTATTCCATTTATATTGTATTATCAAGGAAGGGATGAAAAGAAGAGATGGAAAGAGATGGAAAAGAAAAAGAAAGGAAAAGAAAAGAAAAAAAAGGAAAGAAAGGAAAAATTTTATTTACATATTTAAATAATTTCTAATTCATAATAAACAATGTGTAGTAAATAAAATAAATTGTAGTAATGTGTATATAACTTTATATAAGATTTTGTTTAATTGATTGTATAATCAATGAAATTGATAATACAATATTAGCGGCATTTATTATTATAAGTATCTGATTTTATAAACTTATATAAAAGTCTTTTAAATTTTAAATTATAAAAATCTTTTATTTAAAA